CATCCCATATAAAGTGGAGGAAGATGGGCACGGATGTTAGCCTAGGGCCAGTCTTCCTCAGCAAAAGACAGAGGGGGATTGGCAGATGTTAGCACAGGGCTGATCTCTTCACACACACAAATTAAATTAAATTAATAAATTAATTAAATTAAATTAATTAAATTAATAAATTAATTAAATTAAATTAAATTAAATTAAATTAAAGATTCAGGGGCCGGCCCAGTGGTGCAGCGGTTAAGTGCATGCTCTCCCCTTCGGTGGCAGGGGTTCACAGGTTCAGATCCCAGGCACGCACCGACGCACTCCTTGTCAAGCCATGCTGTGGTGGCGTCCCATATAAAGTAGAGGCAGATGGGCATGGATGTTAGCCCAGGGCCAATCTTCCTCAGCAAAAAAGACGAGGATTGGTATCAGATGTTAGCTCAGGACTGATCTTCCCCAGAAAAAAAAAAAAAAGAAATGATTCAGACAGAAGGAAAATAATCCTTAAAGGAAGTACATAATTGCAGGAAAGAAAAAAGAACAACAGAAAAGATAAATATGTGGGTAAATATAAATAACAATATTGGCAATATGAAACAATTTGAGGGGTTCAAAACATATATAAAATTAAAATGCGTAACAACAATGACACAAAAGGTGTTTGGATGTACAAATGGAGTTAGTGTTCTAGGATTCTGGCAATGACACGAAAGTGGTAAAAATAACTTTTATTAGACTATAAGTAGTCAAGGATGCACATTATAATCTCTAGGGTAACCACTTGATAAAACCAGTGTAGGAATGTATAACTAACAAAGTAATGGGGGACAAAAACTGAATAATGAAAAAATAAAATCATCCCAAAAAGAGCAAAAAAAGAGAGAAAAAGAAACATAAAATAGGTGGTTAAGTAGAAAACAAATAGTAAGATGATAAAAATTCAAATATATCATAATTACACTAAATAAAAGTGGAACAAAAGACTTAAGCTTGTCAGTGTGGATAAAAAATATAATAATAAAGCCAACCACGTACTTTACAAGAGACAAACCTTAAATACAGGAACATAGAGAGACTGAAAGTTATAGGATGGAAAGGAAATACAATAGAAACACAAACCAGAAGAAAGCTACATAGCTATACTAATAATAGACAAAGTAGATTTTAAGACATGTACGTTACTAGAGATAAAGAAAAACATTTTATAATAATAAAGATCTAAACTACAAGGAAGATATCACAGCTCCTTGGATATCACACAAATCTGTGCTACATCAAATGACAGAGTTTCAAAATATATAAGGCAAAAATAAACATCTAAAATGAGAAACACAAATCTACAACCAAAAAGAGCGATTTCTCATAAACCTCTCTCAGTAGATAGAAAACCTTTGTTTTCTATCAGATCAAAAAAAATCAGAAAAGATACAGAAGATCTGAACAACAATACAATTAACAAACTTGATCTAACTGATATATATAGAACACTATATAAAGTGACAGATTACACAGTTTTTTCAAGTTCACAAGTGGCATTTACCAGTATGCTTTGTCACAAATCAAACCTCAACTAATTTCAAAGACCTGAAATCATTTAGAGTATGTTCTCTGACCCCAGTGAAATTAAACTACAAATGAATAACCAAAAAGTATACAATATTCCAAATCTGGAAACTAAGGAGCCCACTTCTATTTCTTTCTTTATTTTTTTCCCCCAAAGCCCCAGTAGATAGTTGTATGTCATAGCTGCACATCCTTGCTGTATGTGGGACGTGGCCTCAGCATGGCCGGAGAAGCAGTGTGTAGGTGCGCGCCCGGGATCCAAACCCGGGCCACCAGCAGCAGAGCGCGCACACTTAACCACTAAGCCATGGCGCCGGCCCAGGAGCCCACTTCTAAATAAGCCATGAATCAAAGTGATATAAAGATTTAATGTAATCCCTATCAAAATCTCAGTGGCATTTTTTCAAAAAATAGAATAAGCCATCCTAAAATTCATATGGACTCTTAAGGTATCCCAAATAGCTACAATAATCTTGACAAAGAAGAACAAAGTTGCAGGTCTTACACTTCCCCATTTCAAAATTTATTACAAAGCTACAGTAATCAAAACAGTGTAGTACTGGCATAAAGACAGACATATCCACCAACGCAATAGAATAGAGAGCCCAGAAATAAACCCTTACACTTATGGTCAAATGACTTTCAACAAGGTGCCAAGACCACTCAAGGAGGAAAGGACAGTTTCATCACCAAAAGGAGTTGGGAAAATTGGATATCCACATATAAAAGAAGGATGTTAGACACACACCATACACCATATACAAAAATTAACTTAAAATGTATCAGAGAACTAAATGTAAGACCTAAAACTATAAAACTCTTAGAAAAAAACCTAGCAAGAAAAACTTCGTTACATTGGATTTGACAATGATTTCTTAGATATGACACCAAAAGCAAAGGCAACAAAAGTAAAAATAGATGAACCGGACTACATCAAAATTTAAAACTTCTGCGCATCAAAGGACACTACCATCTGAGTAAAAAGGCAACCTATGGAATACGAGAAAATATCTGCAAATCATATATCTCATGAGGGGTTAATATCCATAATATATAAAGAACTTTTAAACCTCAACAACAAAAACAAATAACCTGAAGCAGAAATGGGCAAAACACTTGAATGGACATTTTTACAAAGAAGATATTCAAATGGCCAACTAGCACATGAAAAGGTGCTCAACCTCACTAATCATTAGGAAAACGGAAAGCAAAAACACAGTGATCACCACTGCACACCCATTAGGATGGCTACTATTAAAATATATATATATATAACAAAATATCAAGTGTTGGTGAGGATGCGGAGAAACTGGAACCCTTGTGCACTGTTGGTGGGATTGTAAGATGGTACAACTGCTATGGAAAACAGTATGGCAGTCCCTCAAAAAATTTAAAATGGAATTACCACATGGTCCTGAAATTATGGGTACATATTCAAAGGAACTGAAAGCAGGGTCTCAAAAAGATATTTGTA